AGCAATCATGAGAAGTTTAAATCTTAGAACTCTGCAGGTCTTCAGCTACAGACTAAAAGTCCAGTTGTTCCATCTATGTTCTTTTATTTTCCCATGTCCTGGACGAGAATGTACACCAATATATGATGCTAACCTTAGTGTCAAATCTTACTAATAATGTGTTGGGATCGATACTCGAGTCTGTTTATACTTTCAGTACGATGCTCCAGATACAGAAATTAGGGGTTGAATAACTACATAATTTTTAAACTCGACATTAACATAATAAAACTCGAGTAGCATCTAAAGATACAAAAATAAATCAATAAATAAAACCGCAAAAAAGGTCGTTATTTACAAAAAAAGACCAAAAAAAACATTGGGAGCATATATTATGCTCCTATCATTCATCATACAGCAAATAAGTCACAGGAAAAACTAAACTATTAGTTTTATTATTAAGCCGCAAACATGAATAAACATGCAGCACGTCAAAAACGAAAATAAAAATAGTGTGTGTGTGTGTGTGTGTGTGTGGGGGGGGGGGGGGGGGGGGGGGGGGGATGGGGGGGGGGGGGTCGACCACCCCACACCACCGCCAGCTGTGGTGCGCTTTAGGTTTAGTTTTAGAGATTAATATGTTTATAGATTTTTTTTTATAGGTTTAGAGATTAATATTTTTTGCTTTTAGTTTGTGAAACAAGGTCAGAGGAAGCTGGTTCTGGTTCGGTCGATTGGACCCGGTGTTACACCATATTCTGTGACCTGCAACAGTGCATGCAACACCGCCCCCTAAGGTCACAATATACGGTGGTCACAAAATATGGTGTAACACCGGTTCGCAACGCACTCCAAACAGTCAGGACGTTGTTTCATTTTCTGTTTCCTTACGGTAGTTGAATCAGAAGATTCATCTTTAGTGAAATATTTACAGACTATTGATGCATTTCTACCTGTTTGCCAAGACTGGGCCTGCTCTGCTCCATCCGTCTGCTTGGAGGAATCCATTTTGTAACCCGCGCTCGGTGTGGATCACGTGACGCGGTGACGTAATGGCGGCATGACGATGTCACCTTGAATACTAGACGTGAAATTAAAAACCTCGATAGGTGTCCTAGGAATCGTGTGTAGATTACTCGAGTATCCTGATGCATGCTCAATAATCCAGGTAGATCCATTTTTTTAATGTCCAGAGGACCAGATTTAACTTTTTTAGATTACTCGAGTAGTCTGTTAAAGCCCTAACAGAAATACAACACTGCACCGAGTGAGACCAAATGTAAACCTTACATTAAACCAGTCCTTTTCAAATAGTAGGGCGCACCCCCCGGGGGGGGTGGGGGGGGGTGGATGTGACCCGGGGAACATGCTTTTTTTGCCGGGAGTAGCTTTTTTTTTTTTTCCCCACCATTCTTATTTTGTTGTGTGCGTTCCAGCAACTGTTTGCTCGTATCTCTCAGTCTTACTAATAATAAAGTTATGAACAAATATGACTGTCTTGTCGTTTTGGGAGCCATGCATGAACCGTGTCGCTCCCATCTGCTGCTAAGACGATAGATAAACTCCAACACCTCCGCTGCATGCGTTTCATGTCCATGCGCGCTGGACGTCACTCACAGCGCGCATGCAGCAAAGAGCAAACTCAAAGCGAGAGCGACACCTGCCCCTCTTTCGCGTTGACAAAATGTTTTAGTTTTATCGATGAGTTTGTCAAAGCACAATTTACAGAAGTAATGTTTAATAAATGTTAGGACTCTATTCTTTGCTAACAAAATGTATTCACCTCCTCAGTTAAGCTGCTGTTTTTATGACACTCTGGACGCTTGTCACCCGCAGCATGCAGGCGACAAAGAGTAAACTCAAAGCGAGATGGTTACCTGCCCCCTCTTTCCTCTTTTGCGTTGACAAAATGTTTTAGTTTTATCGATGAGCGCGCTCAATGATCCTGACTTCCTCGTTTTGATTTTAAAAAATCAGCACAAATGGTTTAAATTTTTGTTTTGTAGGTCAAAGTGTTTTATATAACACTCCTGAGTTAAAATGTTGCTGATCAATTTGAATTTATTATTATTTATTGATTATATTGAATTTTATTTTTCAGTATCAAATGGTCAAAAATGTTTGCAGTTGAAATAAGGATTTAAGTTTTTTTTCAGGCAAATTGATGCACTTTAAGTTGTTTCTGTTACAGACTAAAAAACAATGTTAATAAAGTTATTCATTGTTGTAAGTTGATCTATATTCTTTTTTTTATTTAATGTTAATAAGGACATAGTGTTATGCAGAGGTGTACTTATGAGAATTTTATAGACAAATGATACTATTTACAGTCTCGACGAACAGTT